TTTTTGCACCATGTTGTATTGCAAATAAATATCCAACACTTTTTCTCACATATGAATCATATGGCAAATAATCAACCACTCTAAATCCCAATTGAGCTTGGACTTCTAAAGATAAATAAATAGCACCTGTTGAAACAATCAAAATAAGAACATCAAACTCCTAAAGAACTCCATTAATCACCCGTGATGCGTCAAAAATATAAATAAATATTCCACAAATTCATCTTGAAGTTCAAACCTTTAACATAAATTGACCGCTTATATTAGTCAAAAATTCCAATCAACGAAAAAATATCAATTTCATCGACAATTCAACAAATTCACATTCTGGCTAGCATGTTAACTGAGGTTATAATTCAATACTAAATCGTACCTTTGAGACTCCAGTCTTTTGGGGTTTTGGAATGTCCCAACGCAAGCACTTGCCAACCTTTAATACTATTCAGTTTCCGCAGCGAATCAGAGGGTTGATCCGAGACAGATACAACGATCCATTTCTCGGATCGGAAATTGGAATAAGGAGTGATTTTATCAACAATGCGAGGAATGGAATTCCAATTGATAACTGGGAACTTGGGGCGAATCGACTGAGACTGAGTAGACTGGAGGCAGAGAAGAGCGGTAGTATCGCCGCCGGCTGTGCCATAATTACGGAGGAAGAAAAGGGCCGCCACGGTGGTGATAAGTAGAAAGATTGTGAGGATTTTGTACAGATTTTCCGAAACCCATGTGGAAAAATCAAGATTCTTGGGATCAGAAAATCTATTCGAAGCTAAAATTGGTCTGCTTCTGGGTTGATTATTTTTGGATTTCGCACGATCTTGGACTAACATTTGAGTTGAATTTTCCATATTCACTCTTGCATTTGACTAGAGTTCGATTCAATTTACCTTCTTCCTCTTCGGTCTAAAACGCAGTGCGATGCGGTGGGTGCCGACAGGAGGCCAGGGTTGGCGTGGTTTATCTTACGCTTGAATCCAACTTCTTGCTGTGCTGTATGTAATATGTTTGGTGAGTAGTAATAAAGAAGTTTGTGTGAGGGTGTTCTTTTCAATTTTGATGATTGTTTTCTATTTTCCAATTGTTTGATTTGATCAATAATTGGTTATTGGGTTGAAATCAAGATTTGGACGACACAACTAATTTTTGTTTAATGTGCAAGGAAGATATATATATATTTCCTCAAACAGAAAAAAAAAAAAAAGTCTCATTCAA